CTCATTTTGAGCTCAACCAAATCGAGAACCTCGTTGTCGAGAATGTAATGTAATGTTTACTTCTGAACTTGATAGTCAGTGGGAATCGATATTATTTGTACCTGATAAAGTAGGCAATCCAGGTAGATGAAGAAACCCTAGCTCTCCTAGATGGCTCAGGACTCATGGGATAGCTCTAAATTATCTTTCTTTTAGCAAATTAACTATTTCAAGCAATCAGGCCAACTGAGTAGTAAAGGTCTGGCTTGGTTCCAGCTGCTCTCCAGACCAACTTTTGATGAGTAGGTTACACGTAAGTACCCAGAATGAAACCTGTAAAAATTGGTAGATGAGGGCTAGGCACGCTTCTGGTTTTTTCTGAATAATTTGAGAAGAAACATTTCCCTTATCCGATCCTCCTTTAGTCTCAATTCTGTCCCAATTTTGAACATTTAGAGATTTCACTGAGCATGTCTCCAAATGAGTAAGAAGAAAAAGAGAAATGTTTCTGAAGCTAATTTATTAAGAAAAAAAGTCCTTTGATTTTTGACTGGCACAGATCTAATTCTTAAATTACTTAAAAGCTTTACCTACATGTCATGTTTTAACTACTGTTAACTATTCTTTTCAGGACATTCCTACTCATTTTTTTGTGAATAGAAAGCGTGTTTTTAGTTTGTTGCCTATTATCTAGTACCACAGTTTAGAATTATTCATCAGTGTTATTAAACAATATTATCTTCTCCCATTAAAAAATCTTGACTGACAGAATCAAATGAGGTTATAAAAAGGAATGGGTATGAACTTTTAAAGAATGGGTTATGATTTTAAATATCAAAGGGAGTTTCCTTTTTCTTTGACTGTGAGAACCTAAAAACGTTTGTCTGTCCATGAAAATAGGAAAGAAAAATATTATGTGATTTTAAAACTATTAAAAAGTGTTATGTATACTCCCAAACCTAAGATTTAAAAACATAAAGTGAAAGGTTAGGCAAATATGGGCGCCAGTGATGCCAGCAGGTACCAAGCACCATTAAGATGCTGAGCCATCTTCTCAGTTAGTGCAAACTGATTTTGATTAGTTTTGTGGCACCCCTGTGTTGACTTCCATTATGAGATCTACCAAATACGTTGTGGAATGAGCAACTAGAAATTTGTATGACCGAAACAATTGCTTAAGTGAAAACAGACATTGCTGTATTTGACAGAGTTTCTTCGTGCAATTTAATTATTTACTCATTTCTGTCCTTGCCACAGAGAAGGAACTCAAGGTGGCTGACTTAAGGTCACACAACATACAGCTCCAAGGTTCATATAATGTCAAGCCACATGCAAATGTCAACACACACACACCAAAGTACACACTCTTGAAAAAAAGAAAGTAGGAAATTAAACTGTAAACCCCTTCCTTCTAAACAAGAAAATTCTGGCTAATGAAATTTTAAATACTTCAAAAATTTCCACCAGAAAATTTACAGGACTTGCTCTGGGATTCAACATTTCTTTAATGTGCTACCACCAGCCAAGGGAGCTTCCCACTAAACTACAGCCTTCCTAAACTCCAAATTGGAGCAGAGGCCAATTTCAACTTCCAGATTGCTGCTTTCTCTTGATACCCTCCCATTCTGGTAGTAAGCAGGGGATTCAGTTTGGGAAATCAGCCCAAGGAATATAGATACGAAATAACAGCAAATCCAGGCTAAATCCAAAAGACTACAATCCAATGATGCATCTCCTTCAAGTTGTGGAGGTGTTTGGAAATACAATCAAACCTGAGCCCAAGTCCCTCAGCCCCTGTCACTTCTAGCCCACCAGAGCTGCTGACATGGTTAGAAGACACTTGGACTCCTAGAAACAAGTGAGGATAAATATGTAACCTCAGACTTGGTTACAATCAAGAGGAAGATACACCATTAAGATAAGGAGATGGTCAGGTGCTTTCAATGAAAGCCACCAGGCCATGCTGTCAGGCCCCTTGTGATTACACAGCACCTTAGCTGGGAAAAGAACATTCAACTACTCATTACTTAAAAAAAAAATCACAACAAAACCTGAAGTTACAAGCAGGTGGAGGAACTTCCATAAAGACTATTTGAATACATTTTATAAATTACGAGTACCAAGAAATTATTTCAATACTTTACAAATGACAAACACTAAATGTCACTTCTCCAAAGATATGTTTTTGTTTGCTTGTGATGAAACACTAATCCCAAATGAAAGCATGAATTTGAAAATAAAGACCCATTTTATCTGTCAAGGTCCAGAGTCCAGTATTAGGGGCATCGGGGTTAGCAAGATGGGGACGGAAGAAGGCGAGGGGAGAAAGAACAAAGTGTGAGGACATGTGAAAACAGTATAAGGAAACCGATTAGCTGCATGTTCACTTTTAAAAAATTAAATAGATAAAAATACTGCCTATTATTAAAAAAAAGAAATTCAGAACCCGTAAAGAAGTAGTGCCCGTGTCAGACAGCCAAGCAGGGTGGGGTAGTGTGCAGACAGACACATGGGTGTGCTGGGTGGGAGACCACCCCATGTCAATGGTTAGGAACAGATTCCACGAGCTGCTATGCCTCTAAAGGCTGGGATTTTTGCCACCTCTTCCCAAGCTGTTGGTGAACGCACACAGCAGCAGACAGGGCAATCACTATGAGTTCCACATCTCTTGGGAGAAACCCTACAGCACTGCAAAGGTGTTTTGCAGAAGCTGACCTTCTCATGGAAGCCAGCAGGAGCTCAGTCTCCCACTTGTGACACTAGTCTGAATTTTCCCATAGATGGACTGTGCCTCCTGAGACACTGAATCTCTATATGAAGATTTCAGGAGCACGGTCTCCCCACTTGTGAGGCTAGTCTGAATTTTCCATAAATGGATTGTGGCTCCTGAGACACTGAATCAGGTCAGCCAAGGCCAGAACTGAGAGATAAAGATAGTGTCCTGGGAGAAGTCTCCTGAGCTCCCAATGCCTGGGTTGCTGAGACAGTTTGTGCCAACTGACTATAAGACGAGAACAGGTCTCTTGTATTTAAAATTGAAAAATATTATCTTCCCAATGCCTAGTTTATTTCAAAATATTGTAGGACACATTTTGCTTTTATGAAAAAACTTTAATACCTAAGGAGAGGCTATCTCAAAATAAAACAAAAAATTCTTTAATAAGCTCCATATCATGATGTACAAAAAGCATGTTAAGTGATGGAAGTTCCCGAATGGTCAAAGAAAATTCCAATTTTATCTTAAATTAACTAACATCTTAATTTTTGGCAGTTATTAAAAAACATTTCCCCCAAAGAAACTTGAAACTTGGAGGAACTGGTGTATTCTAGTTGGCTTATGTCTGCTTTTTTTTTATTTAAAAAAAAAATTAAGAGACTCTACATGGTACGTAGCAGAAGAAAAATGTAACCAACCTTCTTGACAAATACTGAAAACTCAATCCTGCCGTAACATAAGCACACAAAGGTCACCTGCCCAGCTCTGCCCAGCTCCAGCAGACAGCATTCAGGTGAGCCTCTGTACTTGCTCAGAAATGCGATTCACACATGGCTACATCATTAATTCCAATCAAGTCGCCCTTCAGAAGTGAACAGCAGCCCAGCCTTCGTTTAGTCTGGCTTTTAAGACCTTTCTCAAAGTGTTTTCCTCCTTTTTTTTTTTTTTTTTTTTTAAATGTGTAGAGGCTTTTAAAAGCTTATATTTTAATTTAAATATTTTATGCTCTGCTCTCAGATTGCAGCACTAGCAAATTTATCAAGAAAAATCAATTCAGTATCAATTTTAAGTTGTCCTGAATTAGGACTTTTCATCATTGGCGTATAGAATATGTATTGAATGAATACTTTTACCTTTGGAGTATATAATGTGCATTGGATTAGTGTTTTCATCGCAGAGTATATAATATTTTGCCAAACAATATAATTTTAAGGAGAATAGTCTGTACAGAATCACTTAATACATATGTAGAAAAATAATTTTCCTATGAAAAACATGGATATGTTTAAAAAATTTATTTCATTTTGATTTTGTATTTTTCCTGGGATATTGATTGCTACATGTCTCTAAAACAATTTTAGGATTGAATTAGTCTCCTTTTGTGATCTGGGGATTTTTAAGGTACAGCAATGTTTCATAAGCCAGGCATATGAAGCAACTGAAAATGGGAACGACCTCAGATTCTGACGTTTTACACTGTGTGGTCTGTTTCAGTAAAATGGCAGATGACATTTTTTAGAGAGACACAGGGCAAGTGTGGCTCTTTGGGGTTTATTGTGTTTTGCTTTTGTTTTTGGTAAGAATATTTTTAGAACATTCTCTTTAAAAAAAATCACAGATACAATTAATATTCTTCTAATAACAGAAATTTTAAATTCTTCATTATGTTAATTTCATATTATTTTCTCATGAGAAGGAAAACACTGCTCTAAATCAAAAGTAAAATGCTGTATGTTCAGAATGTGGAGAACAAAACCCCCAGGACAGCTAAAATGCATATGCCCATTCTCAGGTCTGGCACCATCCATTTCTGTCTAAAGAAGGCCATCCACACCTTCAACTGAAGATGGTGAATTAAAAGCCCTGCAAAAGCCCCTTTATAAAACATAACTACTCACCAGTACCATTCTTAAAACAGAATGCGTAAACTATAAGAGTAGAGAAATTGTTACCAGGTTTTCTGTTTTGTTTTGGGGTTTTGTTTTTGGTTTTGTCCACTAATAATATGATTAAAAGGTTTTTAGGTTTTCAAATGCCTTAAAGACATACAACTAAACATGTGTTTGAATCAGCTTTTAAAGACACCCACGAAGATGAAAACCTCTGTGCTCAGGTGAACACTGAGGGCTGCCATAGGAAGAAGCTTGCTCCCAGGGCAGAGGCCTACACACAATCACATCTTGTCCCGAGCCTGCGGCCTGCCAGAACAGAACAGGCAGCTGACCAATTATGGGTGTTGATCTATACAGGGCTCCTTTGTTCTCCACCGGTGTCAGGGTGCACACGTCCGGGGACACATATTTACCTGGAGGATTCTTGGCAGGATCATTGTGGCTTGGACTTCCTGATTGTCCAGAATCTGAAAAGAAATCACAGAATATGTTTTCTTTTTAATTTGTTTTGAAAGAATTTCACAATACTAAGAAGGGCTTAAAAAAAATTTTTAAGGTACAACAATGAGGTGAAGTGTTTAAATAAAGCATACTTTCCCAAGCCTTTTCATAGCAACATTTTAGTCATCAAACTAGATAGATGCCTATACATATTTCTTCGTCAAAGGGAACAATTACTCATCTATAATGCTTCGGGGTGAAGAAAGGTTTCCTGCTATGAGGTCTGGCTGCAAAGCCACTGAAACCATTTGAAGGTTAGGCAAATATCAAGGCCGGAGAGCAGAAATTTGAAATAAAGCAGATATTGTCCCTTAAAAGACACAATCTAAATGTAATTAAGAACACTTTTAACAACCTGAAAACATGCTTTTCGTCAGAGAGTAAAATACACAGAAACAAGAGCCTTCTCTTCCAGGCTTTCTCACGAATGTTCACGTATCCTCTCCAGTAATCCCCCAACCTACTGGATCCCGGCCCAGTTCTGTCTGCATCCCATAATAGCAATCGATTTGCAAACACCAGGAAAAGCATAAATTACTAGGTGGAAAACCAACATGGCTTTGTGGAGAGCAAATTGTTGGATCAATTTAATCTCCATCTGCGAGATACAGACAGATTCGTAGATAAGGAGGAAGAGGCCGCCACAGTCGTTTGGAGCAGCCCAGTCCACGCCATTCCTCACCAACACCACAGAATGGGGCTCAGAGGACTGGCCCTGCCCGCCAGGACGCCCGTCCTAACCAATCGACGCTGCAGTGCTTGGCTCACTCCTCTGCCTCCATGGACCCTCTGCATTTATTTGCGTCACCTGCTCTGGGTTCACACACACTTACCAGCGGGAAGCGGCTTTGAAATCTTTTATGGGTTCTAGCCCTTGGGTTTTGTCTCCACAGCTACACTGCACTAGTAAGGAAGGGGCAGGTAGCCTGTCTCCCTCTTTGTCTTCCCGGGGCTGCTCCTGGAGTCAACATACGAGGCTTGCAGTATATGCCCGAGAAATGGATGGCTCAAACACAGCAGCCGCCTTTGCTTGCCTACAGAAAGGCAATTTTGAGCACAATAGTGAATTTCAACAAAATGTGGTACTGGAAGTGTCTCCAACTGCCAAAACCCCACAAATCTCTTCCTTAAAACCTTGCCCTTATACTTGAGGCACCGAAGGGATTGAATTAAGCAGAAAATCAGACTGCTTTTTGCTTTTATCAAGGTTATTTGGTTTTGCCAGGTAAGACAGTAACACTGCAATTGTTCTTCACCCTATTGGTGTATTCCTGTAGAAAACTCGGTTATTTATGTCTGCCCTTTGCCTCCTGCTCACTAGGTCAGGGTTAACAGGGAAGAAGAACGTAATCCCTCCATCCCATTTCCTTGAGTTTTTTTTTTTTTCTTTTACTCTAGAGTATAGTTCATGAAATCTTAGCAGACTTGTTTTTGTGATTCCCACAGTGTCCTTCACCTTGCTCCTGACTTCCCAAAATGGAGGGAAAGAAACTGGAAGAACGACCTGACCGCACTGGCTAACATCTCCTGCTGCCGGAGGCCAGGACCCTTCTCCAGGACCCTCGTCCATTACTGCTTTCTAGAACTGAGGCAAGGCTGGGTGACCTGTAACTTAACAGAAGGATCTTTTTCTTTGTTCCTTTCAAAGAGAATGCAGCCCCCGCCACTTTTAAGCCTCGAGTATAACCGTTACAGTAAAATGTTAAACTGTTTCATTTTGTTACAGCCTCTGCTGTTTCTGCTTTGAGTTTCTCTGGTGTCTAGTGCTTAGGTTGCCTGGCACTTACTTCACCTTTTCAGGGAAGTCTAGCCTGTTGAGATCCCTACTTACAGGGTCAGACTCGTGGACCAGACCCTCCACAGTCTTTCTCTTTGTCCCTGGAGCTACTTCACATGTACAAAACTCTAAGACAAGCACATCCAGAAACAGCAAGGCAGAACGCTGCCACAATCATGAGCCGGCAAGTGGCACAGCAGCCCCACTCCAGGAGCTGGGGACTTTAAACCTAAACCTTATCATGTTTGGCTACAGTGACTGCAAGATGGCACCATCACCTCCCTCACCTCCCCTGCTAAACTTGTGTGTCCAGTAGAATAAAGAGCAGTGTCTCTCCCTGAGAATCTGCTCACTTGCCATAGCTCAGCCCTCATTTGGACAATGTCCCACATCTCCCTGGGGCAGCCTTTCTCAACCTGCCCCTCCCCTTCTTATGTGTGTTAAAAGTTACATTCTCTTCTCATCCCCAACAACTGCAGACCAATGTCTTCAAGGAAAAAAAAAACTATTCACTTAAAAACAAACACACATTCACTAAGAACACCTTAAGAGTTTGGGGGAAAGCTAAATAACTTTGTCAAACATTTGCTATCTATGAACTGGTGTTTACTGGCCCCCACCCCCAGAAACAGGTTTTCCTTCATACTACAAAACCTGTACCTTCTCATGAAGCAAAATATCAAATACTGTGACTGTGTTCCCAAAACACAGATGAGGGCCCCAGAAAAGGCAAGCAACACATGTACTTCTCACACTATGAATTCTAGCACTGCAATCTCCTCTGATGTCACCTTAGATCAGTCACTTAATTCCAACTGCTGGAGAAGGAAGTAACCAGGGAGCCACAGTTGGCAGAGAACCCAAGAATGAACTGTTATTGTGGCTGACTTCAGAGAAGGAATTTTTCAGACCACATCTAAAAGCCCCGCAAATCACCACCCAGGTCAAATTACTCCAGACTCAAAGGTTTCATTAACCATTTCCATCACTCTGTTCAAACCCCTTCTCTGCTGTATGTGTGTGTGGGGGGGGGGGGGGGCTACTAAATGCTGACTCTGTCCCTCTCTAGGGTGATCCTGTAAAAAAATTGGTTAGAATCTTGCACCTTAGACACGAAAACTGCAATAATATGGTCTACTTTGGAATCTCCACAAAGACTGAATCATACCAAGCACACAGCAAGCACAGAGTCCTGGCTCTAGTACATCTTTACACCATCAATTCACAAGAGATATTATTAACAACATAGGCACATTAAAATGCTTACGATTTTTAATGGGCTAACTCTCGGGAAGGAAGAGAGAAAAGGAAGAATCAAAACTCTGTCCACAGTGGTGCAGTACCTAGGAATAGCTATGCTGGGTCTGTGCACCCAGCCCCAGAGCACACATGTCAATATCTCAGTCCCAGGCCCCTGCCAAGGTGCCACAGCCCTATCCCGAGCTCTCCAGAGATAGCATGCTCAAGATGGAGATACAAGCAGCTGATGCAATCGCCTTCCTGGAGGCTGAAGCCTTTAAGGGAGGAGGCTGGCAGGAACAGGGTTAGGAGCTGCCCAGCACACTATGTTTTGAGTCCAGGAAAATTCTGACACTACAAAGAAGAAAGCAGGTGGACCTGGAAGGTACCCAACAGTCTTCCCGCCTTCTCCCCATCCTTGCTTTCTAGTCCTTTATCTGAATCTGTATTGTTTACATTTCTTTTTCTTCTAGCTTGACTCAACATAATTGAGTTGCATTACTTTAAAAGGCAAACTTGACTTTGTATTGCTTCCTTCTGAAATCTCCAGGCCTGTTCACAATGGATCTCACACTGCAGCTTCAAGAACCCTTCTGCCTCTGCCTCCCTGGTGGCTGAGATTACAAGTGTGTCCAACCCAGCCAGCCCTCTCTACTCACAAGTATAAATCTACACATATTAGTTATTCTTTTGGGAAGAAGGACACTGAATGATGAGCTCTCTACATTGTGACTGTCACCATGGCCACTCCTGTCCCTTGGGTTAAGGACTCACACCCCGGCATGACCTACAGAGCCATGCCCTAGTGTTTTTACCCCTCTCTGGAAGGCAGCCTGTCTAGTCTTGCTCTTCTAACCTGACTTCACCTAAAGAGCTGATCCGCTCTGACAGAGGACCCGAGAACACTGCACTAAAGGGCTTGTGCACAGTGCCTGCCTGTGTGCACCCTGTTCAGACGCCTTGCTTCTTACTGTGTGATGCAACCTTGGGTTCGCACAAAGCCAAGTGATCCTACAGCAGATTAAATGTTTCTGGGAACCTGACCTGACCTTCCCCAACTTCCCTCCTCCCTGTCATTTATCAGCACATCCCAAGTCATTTTCAGAATTCAGAAAAATCAAAACAAAAGCATGTTTTTGATACCTATTGAAATATATTGTTACTATCAGCTGAGTTTTATTCCCTTCAGGGTGTGCTAAAGGAAGGTGGTGCTAAGTCAAATTTACTGTCCATTCCCCCCCACTAAATAACAAAACTGTTTTTTAAGGTAATCTGGTGAAAGTTCAATAAAAGTTTGTCAAATATATATATTTGATGTGTGTGTGTGTGGGGGGGTGATAGTAAATAATGGCCTGTGAAATGGCTATCACCAAGTAGTAACCTTCTGGCATGACTAACTGCTACTCTCTGAGGTGGGCAGATCAAAACTGAGTTGTTGAGGAGCATAGCGATTAAATGACAATCAGTCAGAATCCTAGAGTGCCTTCGTATCAGAAGCTCACAGTGTTTGGCACACAGTAAGGCTTTGCATACTTTTATTCAGTTTATAATGACCTATAAATATTCATATTCATTTTTGCATCCATTTATTTAGTGTGTGCACGTGAGCTCAAATGACACGGCACACGTGTGGAGGTGAGAGGCTATCTCTCGTAGAGTCAGGTGTTCCCCTTCCACCTTTTACATGCGTTCTGGGGACTGAACTTAGGTCCCCAGGTACTTTTATCCACTGAGCTATCTTGCTGACCCTAGATATTATGTGTTTCTTTGTTTGTTTAAAATAATATCTATTATATTTTTTTCTTGAGGCTCAGAAGTGACCCAATGTGCTAGGAATGCACAGATTGAAAGCTTGGAGATGGAGGAATGGGAAAGGCAGATGGGGAACATCAGGTCACAGTTACAGAAGGAAAAGGCAGGGCTCCTAGAGCGATGGTGACAGACCACTTG